TATGTAGATAAAATCCTCAATAAAACAAGTTATGTAAAAACGAATCATTCCTTCATGTTCTGTGTGTCTTTTAATAATGTTATACACATAAGTTTATCATATGAAATTGCATATATATTAATTAAAATTTGAAGGGATACTTATTTAAGTAAAATGGTATAACTTGTGATTTTTCTAATTAACATTTTTTAACAGTTTGATAAATATTTTCTCAGGATAACCAGATATAAAATTAAATTTAAAATACAGAAAAACTGTATTCAACTATTCAAGTCCTTTTAAACTTACTTCACAGACTATGTACTATAGTTCACAGACATGTACTATCACCTTAATGATGTGGACTGTATCTTGAGAGTTTAGAATAAGTGACATTTAAAAGTATATCTTGTACACCATAGAAAACAAACAATAACCCAAGCACTTTCACAAAATGCTTGGACTACTGGGTTTCTTTTCTGATGCCAATCTTTTTTGTTCATCTCGAATGCTTTGCAATATCAGGAGTAGGTGTTAAATGGAATAAAATGAAGTATTATCCAAACAACATCAATGAGTATGATTTTACTGAAGGAAAAACAGTGTAGTACAGTAAAAAAAAAATGGTGGTTTTCAGTGACTGTACATTTCTACCTTAAACCTAAAGCCTTTCTTCTACGAGTTACAATATGTCAAAGAACAAAATACTCTACATCAAAGGGTCACATGTAGTGGTTGTACAGTGATAAACTGAAGTCAGATCGTCAATACACAAAGTCGCCAACTTATTATTTATAGCACTCTTATCACTTCGCATGTTACCATGTATTGTCCTTTGTCTCTTGGAAAACTCCAAGGCTTCCATACTAATCATGCTTATAATTTTATCCAGCACTAACTACAACAATGTAAATATGAAAAAGATTTGAACTTCTTGGCAACTGTTATTCTTTGTCAATATTTTCATCATTATTATTATAAGTTACAGCTATTTTATGGTAATTAAAATACTTTTAATTTAATAATAAAACACTATATTCGTGGATGCACTAACATGATATATAGCTCACTGAAATTGGCATCCAGATTTTGTTAAAGCAAGTCATTAACACTTTTAAATATACTGTTTAAGTACAAAAGAAAAAAAAAGTCAAAACTCATGCAACTGATTACTTTTAGTGTAATGTATTCTTAGATACTTTATAAACATGGCTCATGCCACTAGAGGAGTATTGGTACCTGAAACTAAGACTCAGATGGTTATGTCAACAGCACTATAACTTATCAGGGTCTGTTGAATAAGGTGTGCTAAACAAGCTACTATTTTTTTTAAGAATTCACATTTCTAAACTGGTAAAATGCCAAATGACCCTTTGTTAACCTCAGGAAATGAAACATGAATAATAAAATATCATTCAGCTACTAAAATGGTCTAATATCTTTAGAAAAGGTTAAATAAAAGCCTTTTATCCCCAAGTTTCACAAGGAATCAGTGTATCACTGTTCAGATACATAAAACATTTACCACAATTAGTTCTATGCAACCCAACATTTACAACTGATAGCTAATGGTTTTAACTTAGAAGAATTCTACACCTAACTAAAACTCATATATTAACTGGAGTTAAAGACAGTGTTGTCAAACTTTCAATACACAATCCTAACTTTCCTCAAGTAATATTTCTCTGCTTCTTAACAAAACACCATCTTTCTCATGTGTAAAACCGTAATACTTAGTAACATTGTGGGAACACATCAAGCTTATTAGTCTGACTTCTGTTGTTCAAGGTGTTGGGATTTATTGTTAGAGATCATCCAGTAAAGCATCTTGAAAATTTGCATTTAATAAACAATAACAATCAAAGTTTTAAAATGGATTTTTATACCTCACCAATTTATTAGTTTTTGATAAATCTTCTGTTCTTTGAATATAGAAAGTGAAGAAGAAATGTATCTTAACTTTACATAAAAATCTTTTTCAAGGTAACTCATAAACAACAAATTAATGTTAGATTATTATGAAAATGTTGGGGAAAATGTAGACAGAAGTAAACTTAAAAAAATGATGCTTTTTGTGGAGAATGTTTTCACTGTAGAAAAGTATGGACTGTTTTCATGAGTGGACAATAACATGGAAAATTAGTTCAATATTAGAAAACACAAATATTAATTAATGCATCTGGGATTTGTAAATTTGCAAATGACTTGCTTCTTGTGTGATGGAAACTCCAATGTTTTGGAGAAAGGAAATTATTTATTAAAACTCAGCATAAAAACCCTACCTGAATGTTTAGTTATGGTGAAAAAGTTTACTAAATGTATCTTTCTATTACTACCTTTTTAAAAGTAAAAATAAGAAGGTTATTCTAACTTCATAAAATTTGACATGGCCTCAAGTTAAGTAAAGTAACATGCTCACACCATTATTAAATAAAAAAATACAAACATGCTAAAAATGTGCAAGGAAATACAACCTGAATGATACTCAGTTTAAAACATTATGCTGTGAAAGTGTTTTAAAAATTAACCTTCTCTGGAGTACAGATGAAACAAAAGTGGCATAGTTCAAGTGCATTTACAATTGCTAAGACTGGATAACCTAACTTAGTATGGAAATATCTGATACCCGGTAAGATAAGATTAGAAAGAAAACTTGAATATTAGGAGGTATTGAAAGTTTATGAAGCCCAAAACCTGACTTGTTCTGTGACAAATGACTTCTTTCTAAAAGTTATTAATTTATGGAAAAATTTGCCTGTAAGTTTGTTTATGTGCTAAGACTTCAAATTTTGTAAAATTTGTTAAACGGGCATATGCGAATGGTTGAATTTAGTGCAGAATCACCACTTTGTTTGTTTTTGGTGGATGAAATGGTGAGTTTAATCGACTAACATTCTGTCTTCTTGCTCATCCTAGATGTTCTTTATAAGTCTTTAGTATAGTATACAGAAATGTATATTTTCAAGCAAAACACATCCAATATGGTCCAAAGAAAACATAATTTTTCAATTCAACTTAACATTTAAAATGAAAAAAGTAATATTCAATTTTATGATATCAAAAATAAAAGTATCTTTGAATTAACATAAATATAACTTGAAACATGTTAACCTTTATTACCTTATAAATAAATGTATCAATAATCTTTGCAAACTATCTTTATAATTATGCAATTTATTGAAGGTCTTCAATTTAATGATTTCTGTTAAAAACAAACCATCTATTTTCTACAATACTAATTCAATATGCATAATCCATTTAAATTCATAAAATTCCTAATGACTACTTTAATCGTAATGCATAGTTATAAATTAATCAATAACTTTTATTCAGTTTTTATCCCCATCTTTTTCTTTGAATAATATCTATAACAAATGAGATAATAAAGCATCAGACTTGCTTCAAATTAAATAAAAGAAAATTGACTTGTATGTTCAAACCCTTAACTGTGGTGTTTTGATTAAGATACACATTAAAGGTCATAATAAGTTCCTAATATTTTATGTATCCAAAACAAAAATAACTTTAGTGGCTTTCATATATTAAAAAACTGCTCAAGCAGCTCAAAACACAGTACTTATAAAATTATCCTACTCTTACAGTAGAAGGTTTTTACTACAGAAATGTACTTTGTTTACTTCCAAGTAAACAAAATATTAAAACATGCTACCTCACAATGACAGGCATAAAATTGAAATGCTGAAAACATTAATATTTTTTTCCTACTTTTCTAGTATGATAACACAAATACTTTTATAAGATATACCATATCTTCATTATGCATGCAATATATAGCCTACATATATTAATGTAATGTTTTCTACTCGCAGCAATCAATATTCATATGATAAGTTTATATTATCTAAAAGGTTTATTGAGCTCATCTTATATTGGGAATAGCCTTTAATAATTATCCAGTTTTTATGTAGATACAGCCACAGTTTTATTGTTTACATTACTATTATTAAATTCATGAAATTCATAAGGACCTCAACAAAGAGCCCTTACAGCAATAGTCTTCTAATATAATTAGAGTAAAATGTTATTGACAATGCTTATAAAAACACTTTATTTTAATAGCATACATGTGTACTAACTTTCAAATTAACTCTACAAAACTCTAAGTGGTAATAATAGCAGTTAAACTGCATGCAAGTATTTTTACATATATTCTTTGACTGAAATGTACTATACAGCTTAATAAATATTGTTGAGAAATCAAAAGAGCCAGTTATTAAAGAAATACAAGTCATATAATTTCAAATTATAATTACTTTCAAGACATTATAATTGGTATGCTTTCTTCTTGTTCTTACTTTTTGCCTTCATGATAATATGTTCATTTTATATTAACAGTCAGTCATAGAAAGGAGAATTACCAATAACATTTACAATACACATATTTTCTCATGTATCACTGTTACTAACATAATACACTAATTTTTGATGCTGAAAATTGGAGTAGCACTAACAGATAACAAAATTTGTAAAACTGAAAACAAAAGACTGCACAAAAATGATTAATTCTGTGCTATATAATATAAAACAGGTTGTAAATATAGACAGATAATATTTCCTTAACAGAAATTCTTCTTCTATTACTCTTTTTTCAACTTTGTATGATTTATTTAAAATTAAAACTTACGCTTGCATATAATTATGATATATATTATAATCTACATTACATTTTCCTTTATGGAAAGAATACATTATTCTATTTTTTTTAGTATAATTTTGATATGGAAATAGTAATACGTTTCATAATGACTCAATGAGTTTGTATTCTCAAGACGTAACTAATTATTTATTTCTATCCGCTGATCGATTCATTCATTCTAAGCCTAACGAACAGAGAAATAAATAGAGCTCGAATTTTGAAGAATGGCCCACGTAAGAACGAACCCACCGTATGCAGACGCAATATAAGACTACTTTCTTTAAAATGAGCGTTGTGCAACAAAACCAGGCCGTCTAACATTAAGTGATTAACAAGTAACGTATATTATATATTAATAACTTACCTTTCAGGATTTTTCTTACGTTGTTTCATAGCACTTCTTCTTTCATATAAAAATAGTATACCTTCTTCTTACGACAATCATTCTTTTACTTAAAAGAAGGGTAAAATTTACCTTACTTAAATGCAAAAAATTTCTCAACTACCTTCAGACACACACACACATGCCCGACGCCGACCTCCTATTACGGCATGACGTCACCAAAGCACATTACGCCGCACCAATGTGAACACATAACGTAAACGTGCCAGCCCCTGTTTGCAAAAACGAAGAAAATTGTGTTATATCACGGATCGGCTACTTTGAAGTTCGGGCAAGTCTCGTAGTTTCCGAATAACATCTTTTATAACATTAAACCTGTAAAGCGGTAACTTCAGACAGATCAAGTTTGATGTACCTTTTTGTCGTTAAGTGTCTAAAAATAATTGCGATTAAATAAAAGTCAAAATTTCATTTGTTGTTGTTTTTTAAAATTTTATAAGAGCATAACAAGTAAAATTAGTTGTCTATGAACAAGGACAAATTCTTGGGTTAAAACAAAACTATTGAAATGATTTTCAAACAAAATACAAAGTTTTAATGATGTCTTCTTGTTAGGACTGCATCCCAAACTTTTCGCACTTTTCAAGTATTCATATTTATATATATGAAATTTTTTTTGTAGTTGTTAAGTTTAATTTGCTTTATTTCCGTACATATTCTATCATAAAATCCTTCAAACTATTTCTTCTTTTAGTCGAACAGAAGTTAAAACAAAAGTGTCAATATTATCAAAACGTAAACTTAAATGTAACATATTTAGTTTCCAGATATCGTAGCACAGGCTCTAGCAAACCAGACAGTAGCTAAAAAAAATTTTACCTCCTATAGTCCATGTAGTTAAAAATCAAATTTTCGATGTAAACATAAGCTATACCATCATTTAAACAATTCGAAAAGTATTGTTACGTCTCCGTTTGTTAATTAACTTTCCGTAACTTCGTTCCGACGAAACTTTAACGACACTTACTTAATAAAACTGGTTTATTCTTTCCGAATAGAACTTTACGATACACTTAATTTCAATATTCGCGCTAAAACAAACACTATAACGAACGAACGTTAACTTCAACAATACCCTGTGACTGCAGTTCAATTACTCACTACCTACACACACATTACCGCGTCACGTTGTCACCCTCTTATATATACCAGACTACCCTATCTGGTAAATGCTAGGGCATTCGTGAAGGAACAAGATAGTTCTAAAAACTAGAGGGCGTGAGAATAGTCACGTGATCTCGATGACGCAACAGTATGTTGATGATTATGAGCTAAAGACTACGATAAACTTCATGAACCATAAACATTTTACCACTGAAAACATTGCGTTTTTATTTATTTTTATTTGTTTCAAGAGATTTTTGTAACCATAATGAGTAATAACCATAACAAAAACAAAAAACATGTCAGTCGACTGTTTCGTGCAAGGTAAATTTATTTGGAAAATTCTAATACAGATATTGAGGGTTGAAATTCCACGTAATTTATTGGTTGTTTGAATTTTGTCGATTTTAGTATTTTGCTTAGAGGTGTAATAATTCCCATGATCTCCTTTATCAACTACATTCTAAAAACTTACAGTTGCATCATATTTACGAGCAACTCCACACTGTAAGCGAAAACAACTGTTTGACAAAAAATATGAATGAAATCATGTTTTTTATGCTCTTGTTAATTTTAGAACTAACGAAACTACATTATCTTGTTAATTTGGTTATTTATATTGAAGCAATTATTTCTTGTGCGCAGGATTTTGTGGTATATTTATTTTCTTATACTTCTTGAAAGTTTGATATTTTTCTTTTACATTTAAATATTACAAATGTACGAAATTCTATAACTGTGGGCTTGCTATTATTTACTAAATCGGTGGTGTTCAGAATTTTTGTCATCAGTGTTTATGTTATTTGAAATACATAAACGTGCCAAATTTTGCATACAAGGACTGCTGCATTCTTAATTTCTAGGAATGGGGCTTTTCGGTTGTTTTCAGTTTGTGACACTTTTGGGATTGAAGTTAAACTGGTTAGTTTCAATTCAGTTATTTAATTCATTATACCTTATTTGAATGTTTAGCTTCAAAAATTGTTCTCAAAATGTGAAAGATCTAAGTGATTTAAATCACTTTTATTTAAATCTGTTGGAGTTTAAAACTTTTAAATCTCCAGTAAGGATTAAAAATTAACATATGAAATGTTTTAACATGTTGTAACTGTGACAGTCAAAGTTTTTTTATATTTCTATTAATTAAGCTATTTAAATAAATAAGAATATTAAACATTTATATATATAGAAACATATTAAGTCGTCAAGAAATTAATGTCGATAAAAAGAACAAAACCCGGACAACTTATATATCAAAACAAAACATTTATTAAATGAAATAACCTCCATTCTTTTCGACGATGCTTTTCCATCTTACAATC